TTTTGCTTTCTGTTCGTGTTTTGCGTGAATGAAATGGAGAGGAAGAAATTTTTTTTTTTAATAATAAACGTAAAAACCGTATTCTGAGAATACGTTTACCGACAATTTAATTGTACAACGTATTCTCAGAATACGGTTTAATAAAATATTATTTTTTAAAAAAAAATTATTTTTCTTTTGAAACGTATTTTCATAATACGTTTTGCTAAAAACGTATTTTCAAACTACGTTTTATAAAAATATATTTTAATTATTATTTGCTTATTTTTTTTAAAAAAACATTTTTTTTTTAAAAAAATACATTTTACTTTTTAGAATACGTTTTCTTGATTAATTTTTTTTTAAGAAAACATATTATGAGAATACGGCTGTTTTGTTTTTGTTCACTCTTTTTTTTTTATTCTATTTTTGTCCACTTAATTTTTTTTTTTTTAAATAAATAAACTACCCGAAGTTCAGGCCATGCAAAATGAAAATAGTCACATCTATGTACATCACAAGTGTCCAATACATATTTTCAGGAACTTTGATCCTTTTAACTATCACCCCATGCAATAGGAACTATATACAAATTACACTCATCAACCTGAGATAACATAGCTCAGTTGGATTAAGCCGATTCTGAAATGTTCCTACTTTCACAATATATCCTCTACCAATACACTGGCAGTGTGCTTACTGAAACCTGCCACTGTCCGCAGTATAACTGATTAAAATTGTACTTCGATCCAGCTTTGCATGTTTTGTTCGGCAATAACCACACATCACATCCATAAGAGTCGTTTACATCATCCATCGACTTTTGCCCTCTCGTATAAATCAGTCGAGTTACCTGACTTCTAGGATCCATGAGACGCATTCTTGTAGAAGCTGGAATTTCTGGTCGGCCGCCACATTCAAAATAATCTGCATCTTATTACGAAACTCAGAGGGGTCCTCCTTGCAGGTGAATGAGCCGGCACATGAGCAGTGTTCGGCCAAGTGGGCAGCTTTTATCTGGTGGCACTTGAGGCACACAAGGTCCTGAAGGTGGTACAACCTCTCCCTCTGGCGTGCAATCTGAATTAGGGCATTCTCCATCAATTCACGATCATAGGGTTGACCACAATGTGGCACGGGACAATGCCATTGCTGGGAGACTAAGGTCCTGTCACGGCACAAGTCAAGGTCCCTGCAGTCCTTGCAGTAGCTGTGGGAAAAATAAAGTAAATAAATAAAATAAAATACAATAAAATAAAAGTTATATTTTTGCGAGAACATGGCACAAGATCATTTCGCTGCGGTCATAATAGCATTTGAACGGGGAAAGAACTCAATAAAATGGAAAATGGGGACTAGTTTTCACCTGCAAATGACATTTGGTAGGGTTAATGATGAGAACTGGTTGTGGAATTCGGCTTCGGGGGCGAATTCCCTTACACGGATCAATTTCAAGAGATTTCTTCTCATGACCTGTTCGAAACCAGTAAATCAAAACCAGACCTCTTCAATTGCAAATGATCATAACACAGTTAAAGGAGGGAGGCAATCTAGTTTATTTCTAAATGAGATCCGCTTTTGCTGAAGTAGAATTACAGTGCTTCTGCTCACGACATAAGGAATTTAACTAGAATTAAATTCTTAAATTGAATGAATAGAATAATTTAACAACAAACTTTGATGCTAGTTAGCAGTGGACAATTCGAACAATGTGGAACTGCTAATGAAATCTATATTGTAAGGTAACTTTCAGAAAATGGTAAGAAGTTTAAATAAAGAATGCCCAAATGCTTTTAGATCAAATCACACAAAAAGGAAAAAAATCCCAAAATAAACATCCCAAGATCCATGAATTTCGGCCATCTTTTCCTAATGATTCATGTACTACAACGAAAACTCAAATGAAACAATGACGGGCATTTCTGTAAATTGCAGGAGATTGATGCCATAAGCTTTCCTTGGAAACAAAAGTTGTAGAGTATTTGGCATCTTATGCATAGATAATATAAAGCTTATTCCTTATGCATAGATAATATAAAGCTTATTCCTTACCAGAACTTCATGCTGAACTTTATGGTCAAGTGCCAAAGCTGCACATACGTACTTGATAAAATCCAGAGCAGAATCTCCCTTATGGATGTTATTCAATGATGGCAAACCTCCAGTCGAGATGTTTTGATCACCCTGAGATTTGTTTTTTTCTTTTACATGGAGACTTGGATCACAGACAATCTTCAGAAGTTTGTCTGTAAACTCGGATGCAATCTGCAGGGCAGCAAATTCAATAAGCGAAGTCCTAATTCTTTTCGTAAAAAATGTTAATGCAAAAACGAGGAATATTCATGTACTTCATATGAAAATTAAATAGTACCTTTTTCTTCAGAAATTCAGTCATCTGAGTTTCAAGAATTTCCGCAGTAGAAGCTGTGATTGATGGAGTACATAGGTCACCTGTGGCCGATGCACGCTTAGCAGCTTCTTCTTGGGCAAACTTCCATGGGAAATACAAGAACTCAGAAACAATCATGATGAAATGGTCCTGTAAAATAAAAGGACACAGCTTAACAGGATGAACATGGATTTTGAAGAAAAACAATAGTCAGTTGTGTTTTAAACCACAGTCACGCTGTGACCCACTGAGTTTGACACTGTTACCCATCATGTTGGTTTAACAATTCTCGTGGGGCTAATGTTTGATACTATAGGTGGGAATAGCACAGTATTTTGGAGTCATCATTTTGGTTGTTGAGGTAGGGTGTTGATATGAGGGCAGAAAGGCGGTATTATGTCCATTTTAATTAGTGGCCAATTGATTACTACTTACTAATCAGGGCCTTGCTTCACTTTTTATCATAGTAGTGACTATGCTTTGATGAATACTGAGGAAATAGGTCAAGTCATCAATCTTTTACACTGAAGGATGGTCTACCTGGGCTTTTTTGGTCAAGTTTTCTGCAATAGTCCAGCTGGAGACAATTTCCACTTGGTAGTCGTCTGGCATGTTCTCCACACTTGCTCTCGAAGATTCTTCAGTGGGTCTGTCTTCTAATCTAGCTTGGATTCCACCATAGTTGTACTGACAAAACAGAGTTGAGTGGAAATTAGAAGATAAGAATTTGTCACAAGTCAAACTAACAGAAACACAAACACACACACACACTCACACACAAAAAAGATCCTTTACTGAAAGTGAGCAACTCGTGTATTCTATCATTTTAGTGGAAATAAGAAAAACATACAGCACAAAAAATGCAACATCTCCAGTCTGATAGAGATGCCAAAAATAAGGTTGAAAAACAATGGGTTGTTTACTCAAGGAAAGGGAAAGCTGGAAAGGAATAAATAAGATATGAGAATAATATCAGTAATGCAATATGGGAGGCATGAATAAGGGGATTTAGATTGATTCCTTATATTTAATATCCTGTTACCTTATATAGATAATAGTAAAAGTCTTATTAAAGGGAGTGAGGAAGTGAGAATGAGATCAGGAAGAAATAATCTTAATAGCTAGGCTATTGGGCAAGTTATCTTGCTGGGAAGTTTTACACTTTCTTGCTTTCATTTATAATAAATTTGTCTATTCATTCCTTTTTCTTTTAATCTCTAATTCTCTGATCCTTTACTCCTATAACAGTCCTTCAGTAACTTAAATCACGAGCAGCACATTGAGGTAAACATGCTATGCAACCAATGCTTGTCAAAAAATGGGGGAACTGATATAATTTTCCAAGAAAAGCTTCCCATCCAACGCATTAACATAGAGAAAACAAAAGTTTGAATATCCATTCGATTTGATCAATAATGGCATGTAAGCATCTATCAAGAGAAAGAGCTACCCCATGGATTAGCCAGCATATTCTCGTACTACCAGATTTATTAATTGTATAGCAACAGATTGCTCCAGGTAAAACTGAGATGTAAATGTAATTGAGTGACAAATCTTTATTATTCACACAAAGATAGCTCATATCATATTATTTTCTATGCTCGATCAAATTCTTGATAACTGCCAACATGCCATACGCCATGTCATATTGGACATAAATTTTAGAGGCTCCTAACCAATTTTAAGATGTACACAATCCTTATGTCTTTTTAACAATCCTAGTTCCATTATCCACTGTAGCTTATTAGGAATGACAAGAGTTCATTTTGCATGCAGTTTCTCAGCTACTTTTATCCCATCCTTCTCACCATGAATTAGCCAAGTATTGTTTCAAGAAAAATGCTACATGTAAATGTACATAAAGATGTACATAACACTCACATGGAGTGGGGTCCACTTGATTTTTTAATTTTAGTGGGTCCCACTCAATGTGAGTGTTATGTACACCTCTATGTACAACATTATGTACCTATAGCATTACTCTTCTTTCAATTGTCAATTCTATGCCAGAGCAGCTTAGAAGCATGCCGTCACCACCATTTAGTGCAATGGAAGATATTTATTGATGGATACAGAAATAAGCACAGCAGAATGTAGTAACAGCAGAAAAAGAAAAGCAAAGAAAGACGTGTATAAAAAAATATGCAAACATGATGCTGATGGCTGGTCTATTTCTTCGATTTTTTTTCATTAAAAGAAATGCTTTAAGCATAGTAAGTGGCACCTACGTTGTTAAACATTACCAGATTAGACCTTAATTATATCCAGATTTTAGATAAAATGATTGTGATACAAAAACATAAAAAAAAAAACATTACGTCATAATATTCACCTGCCTCACCTAGTAAATTCTGCCCAGAACCTTCAGTAAAATAATGCGTGCATTCAATTATTTATTTAAAACTGTACCCAAAACTCGCTACAGAAGTGGCAAACATAGACTCTCACCGTATTAAATTGGTACAAGCATAAAACTTAGCATGATATTCATGTCAATAATTAAAAAGGAAATGGACAGGAGACTGAAATAGAAGGATCTTACAAACCTGATCCATAAAGAGCAGCGAATGCCAAAACTGGACAGGTTCAAGTTCAATCCACTCAAATAGGTCCCTGCAATGAAGGAACTTAGGTTAACCTAAAACAAAACCAAAAACTAATATCCACAACATTCATTTAGGATTCACAGGAGACAAACCTAGTCTGCAGAGTTTTGAGTATACTATCACAATAAGTTTTTGCAGCAGATACATCAGATTTTCCTGTATCAATGACAACTCTGCTGAAGCTAGCAAATACAACTGTTGCACCTAATTTGCGGAACTCAGCCATCAGCAAAGCAAACACCTTCTGCATAATCTGCCAAGAAAGATATTATCTGTCTAATATGAGCACAATGTTAAAAAGTTTTTATGATGACAGAAAGGATTTGATTCATTTATCTCTGAATCGATCTGGTAATGATTTTCAACCATACAATTAGAAGCGTTTAACAGATATTAATACCATTCACATATTAAACTGTAGTCAGCTGAATACCAATTTTCAGAAATAAAATGAAAGATCAAGAACAATGTCATTTAGAATGTAGAGAGGTTAAATTCATATTCACCATTTTATCCTTTTAATTCAACAATCTCACAGTTTCCTCGAAAAGAAAATACCTTATGTAGCATGCGGTGTAGGGCAGGGTCATGAAGTTTGGAATTTGGGCTGCAATATTGATAGGAAGGAGGTTAGTAAAAGCAATTGTATACACAATGAAAAAAATCACAAATTTCAGAAACCTGCAAAGCCATCGGTACAGATGCTGCAGTATAGCATCAGCAAAAACATTTCCTGATGTTACTGCATCAGCAAGGCATCTCTGGATCAACTGTTTAAGAACACGAAATGCTGGTGCACACGATGTCTCCTCATCAAAACAATACAGTTTGTCAGAGTTAAATGAAGCGGGATTCATTTCCTGGTCTAGACCAAATAAAGCACCTCCTTCCATTTCATTCACTTGGTTACTTTTCAGAAGTGCGTTGACTGCTAGGTGATGGATCTGAAAATAAGAGAAAGAAATACCGAGTTAATCTAATTACATACATTAAAATAAAAGAAGAAAACAAAAAAAAAACAGAGGATGAGGAATGAGCAAAAAGGCAGCTTAAACCTTAAGCTCAACAGTAATCTTCCTATATGCACCAGGGTAAGTGAGAACAGGTTGATTGACCTGTTTGACATACAGTTATTAACTCCAGATAACTAATAACATAAGTATACCTCCCATTATCTCATTTAACCACCCAAAAAAAAAGGGAATTGACAGAAACTCATCTCCAGAAGAAGAAAATAAGTCTCAAGTTCAAATCAGTCACCTCATCTATAAAACACGGTACTTCTTCATTAGTGCCTCCTAAGTCTGGGATGCCATTATCAGATATCCAAAGAACCTGTTGGTGGTTTAAACATGCTCAAATTTTGTAAATACAGTCAAGAAGTAGCTAATGGGAGCACACTAAAGCAATTACAAATTAGAGATGAAAAACACAGGAACCTGTTGCTGATCGCGCAATGCTCTAGACAAGAAGATATCTGCTGTATGCATGAGCCAATCAATTTCAAAATTTCCCATTGGAACCTGTTCATACAACGTTGTTCATTATGAATCCATTTGAAACAAAAGATACACTCACTATACGGAGATCATCAAGAAATCAATGTAGCAACTTTACATGGGCATATCGTGAAAGTGTAACTCTCTCATTAAACCATTGTGATGATGCAGCACATCTTTGTAATCCAATTTTTGCAGCAATTACCTGCCAACCAATAGCCTGTACAAACAGATTGCCAAAGTTATATGTTAGAACTTGGAACAAAAATAATGGAAATTAATTTCACAAACCACATAAAGTTTCAGAGAAAGAACGTATCACCACCTGATATTGGCTATCACGAACATTGGAAGGGATGGCTACACATGGAAATTCTTCCAGTGCCCGTATACCAGACTTTAATAACTGGATTTTTGGGCACTCTATAATCGCAATCACAGGGCCATGATAACGATGTCTGTCCATCAAAATAAACAATCAAAGTGTTAACGCATGAACCCATGAAATTAGTTGAATACACTAGGAAATTTAGGGTGTGATTAGATGTAAACTGAATTAGTAAAAAACCAATTAAACCTCAAATTTAACTCAACTTTACCCAACCTCACTATCCTTAATATTATCAATATATTTAAATAATATCAACCAATCATTCTTACACACCACATCAACTTTAATTCATTATTCATCCACTCACATAATTTTAACTAACCATCACTTCCAATCATTTTTCTCCTACTTTACATAAAATCAACTTTAATTATTTTATTTTAAATATTATTTTTATTTAAACTTTAAATTTCCACTAACAACTAAGCATACAACCTTTTCAAAATTAACTACGGTTACAAATTAACCAATCAAATCCATATCTAATCACACCCTTAGTAACTTGCAACAGGGAAAATACATAGTTAGAGAATAATGAGAGAGAAGAATGAAAGAAAAGAGAAACATAAAAACAAACCAAAAAGAAAAAGAAAAATTGGCCAATTTGATGGCAAAAGCTTGAAAGCCAGAACAGAATGCCTGGCCCTCATAGATTGGATTTAAGCCCTGTTTAGTCTATTGGTCAAACATTGCAGGATTTTGAAGAATCAAAATAATTCGTAAGAGTTCGAAGCAGACATTTAAGCAGTATGCTCCCTCATCAAGCATGGTTAATGTTTGTATTCACAAGTCTTTTGTTTCTTAAACTTATGTGGGACTACATTTAGGATAATTAATCTGTACCGTTCTTTGGACCACACTCTTATCATTGCATTAATTGATGTTTACAACTTAAGAGTGACTATTCTCGTGCGATATCCACATTCGGCACTGATAAATTAGATTTCAATCCTCACTAATTTATAATTCACTTCAAATCATGCATCCAACTCCCAATAACCCCTGATGGTTATGAGTATAAATGGGATAAAACATAGGCCAACCATCTCAACAGACTACGCTGGCCCGAATAATGACACTCTTCCCCCGTTTTCCCTTTATTTACCAGTTTTGCCGTATTTTACCCATACATGAAACATGAACTCAAGTATCCATTAGTGTCATAGTGTCTTGCTAGGGGATTTTGAGGAAGATGGTGAATACTATTTAACAGTTTACTTATAAATTTTTCTTATAAAATTTCAGATTTATTTATTATGACTTCAATTGTTCTAGTTATGTAGGCTACTTAACAACATATTCCACTTCATACCATAATCAAAATTAAATATCCTCGCATCCTACACCTACCAGTAAAATTGATCAAAGTGAAAACAAAACCAGGAGTTGCATACTAATAAGTTGTGGGTTTTTAAGCATTTGTCAGAAAATCTTGCTTTTCGGACCAGTTATTTTCAGTCTTGATAATTGAACTTACAACTTAAAAGAGGCAGCTGTTCGAAAAGCAGATATGCGACGTTATCTACCCATGGTCTTCAGTGAATGATCTTGTTTGGGTATAAATAGGTTCAACTACAGAACTCCTAAGTACTCACTCGATATTGACAGTGGGACTATAGAGAACAGACAGAGTAACCTGTATTCGGTTATCATCCTCTGCAAGTTTCCTTGAGCATCCTTGACATGTGCCACATATTCAACCTTACAAGAAGCAAATTCAGTAAAAAAGATAAATTAGCATCATTATATAAAATAGAAGGATATGCGTTTTGATCGAGCACCATGGCAACATGTGCCCCACTTAGTGGGATTTTAAGGGCTTGTTGATTTATTGATATAAAAGAGAAACATTAGTCCCAATGCAAAACAAATTTACCTTGAATGTCGTGCCTTCATTTGTCATGGAGGGCTGAATGGATAATGCTTGGCTAGCTTCACGGAATTGTCTTTCTAGCATTTGAGGTGATAATTCTTTACTTGGGAAGGGGCTAACAACCACAACATACACTTGGCTCGATGTAGGAAAATAGGCAACATACATAGCTCGGGAATCAGATATGCTGCAGAAACAAAGAATGTCAAAACCTAAAGTATACATGGAGTCTCACAACATAATTGCACTTCAGGAAAGAAAGTTAAAAAATAAAAAAGGAGGGGGAGGGGTGATGAAAGTCTCCAACACACGTTAATTGAGAAAAAAATATACTGAGTAAGATTCAGTCTTAGTGCAAGACAATGAAAAAATACGGACATATAATATTTATACAAGCTCTTTCTGACACTACGTGACAATGGCAAGTTAATCAATAGAACCCATAATTTAACCTCGAGTAAGCTTCAGTTCTGATAAATGCCAATAAACACGAAGATGTATATTTCGTTCAAGATGCTATTAGCAGTGGCCCAAACACCATGCAACAATCAGATCTTAGAGAAGCTAACAGACCAAACTATAGCCACTCCTTCACCTTAAATTGGGGCAAATAACTTATTTTTGCAATCAAAGTTACCTATGATACAAGTAGAAGAAAGACATCGAATTTTCAAGATACGAGCACTCTGTAGTTGTTTTCATATGCAATTCATCCAAACTCCAGCCATCTTGGACATTTCTTTTTTTGGCAGACTTATCCACTTTACAGACACAACCAATCTGCAGGATAGCATTGAACTCGAGCGGGATCTTTGTTTCATATATTCCCTGCCAAAGTTGTTCACCCGGTTAAGTTTGTGAATAATCAAAATACAAAAACAAAATTTCTTTTTGAGTGGGTATATATGTTACTTAAAGTTATGTACGATAAAAACCTAGATGGCAAGAACATTATATTAAAAAGCTTGGTTTAGCCACTCTCTAATGTGGATACATTAAGAGGCTTATGTTGTGTACTGATTAATCATTTCGAACAATGACAAGATACTCAAAGCTGATGTGTAATGCAGTATCAAGATCCTGAAGGCAGGATACAAGATGGATAACCTATACACTACCATGGGAAAATACAAGTGAGTAGAATGGTGTTAAGATATATGAAGAAGCTTCTGAGAGTGACTGCAAGGAAAAGATCTTAAAGATTTTGAAGTGGTTGCATGGTAAAGAATACCTCAACTTCAGGATCCGCAAGGTGAGCTGCTAATTTCTTGCTTTCAGCTCTGAATTGGTCTTCATCAATTGTAACCTATGAAGACAGAATGTCAAATTATTATACCAGTCACTACATAATTCTGATCCATTTAAGTGGGAACATTATTCCCCGGTGTACCTCAATCAGATTGTAGTTTTTGTGGCCATGAGGAAGAATCTTGTTCACACGCCTTCCAGGAAACTCTTCAGTCACAGGGGCTTTTGAATTGAGGTAAAATAGCCTGGAGACTTGTATGGGAATCTTACGCATTGTTCCGTCTACAACTACCCAAGCGAAAAATTGGCCATGCATTGAGCTTGGTACAAACTGAATAATCTGGTAAAACAAAAAATTACATCAGCTCTGATTCAAGAAACATGTAGCAGATGCAGAAATTAAGTATGTCAAAACATAAGAAAAGCAATAAAAGGAAAATAATTTTTTTATTTGTTTTTCAAAAACCACATTACCTGCCAATGACAGCGTGTAACAGCCACTTCATGCCTCTGAAAATAGGAATTCACCCCAACTCTGCCTTGAGCCTGCTTGAAATTGAGTATTCTGCCGGGCACCTCACTACCATCATTTGAAGTCCTATAGTTATCTAACCTGATAAAATAACATATTCATGTGAATTAACAAAATTGAACATCAACAGAAGTCAGTCAGTTCATAATGATTTCCAACCCTAAAACGAACCAAAAACATATTGGAAATTTGGATTACAGAAGCATCAACTTATCATTCCCAATAAGTATCATTTGTGAGTTAGATTGTCATTATAACTTCTAAGAGACATCAACAACTTTGCAGGAGGCAAGTAGGTTCTCTCCCGCTATATATTTGTGTGTGATTGTGTATCTATCAATATCAATATATGTGTGTGAGTGTGCATCTATCTATATCAATATATATGTGATACATTAGAAATAGTTTTGAAAACACTACCTTTGACGTTTCCTTTTCTCCCGAATCTCTTTCCACTTTCTCTTCCTTAACTCCAGCCATCCTCGATAATCTACACTTCTGTCAATTCTTTCTTCGGAAGCCTCTTGCAGTGGATTGGTTGAAAGCTTATGTCCACATTCATCTTTATCATTCAACTTTGCACTTTCTCTCAGATAACTCGTTTTGATTTGATGCTGTTCATAATTGACCCCATAAGAATGAACAATAGGTTGAGGCTTAGCAGGAAGAGTGTTTCCAGTGTTCCTAAAGTCTTCCATGTCGGGCACATTAAGTTCGTTCGCGACATGATCATTGATGTTAGGATCACCACTCTCTCTTGCAGCAAAATCTCTCTTTTGTCGACTGAAAATGTCAACCAATTTCCGTTGACGAAACTTGTCCTCTTTCTCACGGACCTTCCTGTGTAGCCAATCAGGATGAACCACCCTCGGGACAGGATTCGAAACCTAACAAGCAATTCCACTTAAGAAATCACACAACAGAAAAAGAGAGAAAAAGAAGCAAATATCCTACTCAACGGAATTAAACATTATATCAACCTTTTGCATAGCAGCAGGAATGGTGATAATTTTTTGAATAGCAGAACTGAGCCTTTGTTTGTAGTATGACCAATCAATAATTGATCGGATACCAACATCTGATGAGACTTTGCACCATTTTTTCACATAAAACTTCATAATTTCTGCGAGTCAGTTTCCATAGCCGCATAAGCACTTTATTATGTAGCAATTTTGATAAACCATAAGACAAAGGGATCAAGAAATTTACCAGGTTCAGTCTCAAAAATTGCAACAGGAACAGCACGCTCACTTACCGGTGTTCCCTGATCAATGTATCATGTCAATGACCTTGAATCCGTAAAAAAAAAATATTTGATAGTACAACTTAATGATATCCACAACTAAGTTTCTACTACCTACAGTCTTTTTGTAAAAAATATTTCAATAGGTTGAAGTGTTAATTTAAGGTCTTTTTCTCTTTACTTTTTTTAAAAATCAACAGAAGCGCATGCATGAACTTATCAAATAAATATATAAGCAAAATTCCATCTGCCAGCAAACGATAAAAGGCACATGTGCAGTCCATCAAGATGCATGTCTCCCCAGTTCTTCATCTAAGAAATGTAACTCGAAGAGCTGAGTGTGATCCTAACAACAAAGATACACACTCTTGCTCGTATCTAAATCATATTTTCTTTACAATAGATCTTCCCAGAAAATAATATACTTCATCAATTGAACAACAACTGAGAAAACATCAATAGAGACTAATTTTTGTCATTTCCTTTTCACATAATCAAACCATCTATCACACTATTGAGGGCTATTTTCATTTCAGAACTAAGTATTGAGACCGAGATGATAATAAAAACTTTCACTCACCACACTGAAAACGAATTCCTACCTTCGGTTCACATGCAACTATATACTGACAGTGCAATCCCTTGTCTTTAACCATTGCATGCCCAAGGAAGTCAGCTAAGCGTTTAGCTGTGGTCACTGCACATGACTTTTGTTCACCATAATCCGCTAAGGACTTGCTCATTGTGCTAGATTCTGATATATAATCAAGTAATTCACTATCTGCAATGTCTTCGCCCTGATTCTGAAATTATTAAAGAAATGGAGATTTAAATCCTATTGAATAACAAAAATACACAGATTTTACATAATTATAAAAGAACACTAGTATCTCGGGTACTGTATATCAATTTGGTAACACAAGCGAAGAAAAAGCTACAATAACATTGCTGATAAATGATAATTTTCTTGCGTGTTCTTGTGTGTTGAATATATCAAAACCAGTAACGTACATCAAGAAGATCAAGCCAGCGATTTGCAACAGAAGCAACAGCTGAATAGCATTCCTCCAATGTCGACCCACGAAGAAATTTATCGAATAGCTCAGCCTGAAACAAAAAAGTCATTCAGTGAATTTATGAAGCAAATTCTTGAGCACGAGAAGAAATATCCTTTTTTGTCAAACATTGATAGCTCTGTCAGTGAGGAAAAGGGTATCTTTAAACCAGAGTCTATACCAAGTGATTAGATCCAAGGTAAACAACTTATCATAGGTTAATGAGAATGTATAGAAGAATGGAAATAGAGAAACTTTACCATGAAGTTTCAATATGGGTAATGTGGAAAAAAAAAAAAGAACAATGATACTTCACAATTGTTGAACCATGGGACAGAATCGAGACAATACCTGGAAAACTTTGATGAGCTTTAGCTCACCTCTACGCTTGATCTCAAAACCTTTCAGTTCAGCAAGGGTACCATCATCATTAAAAACTGCATAACGTTTCTTGATCAAAATCCCTTCCTCCTTGGATGCAGGTATAATCATTGCCTATACCATAAACACCTCTGAGAATAATTCAACAGAACCAACAAATCAGAAAATAAGTAATCAATTGACCAACCATGGGTTGGTCTCATGACTAATCTGCATCACCTTGTACGGTCCATCCACCTCAAACTCAATTGAGCATTCGCTGTGTGTTGTATATGTCTTACTGAAAGGATCTTTAAGTGTCTGCAAGAAACAGCACGGCCTTTAAATTCGCATTTGAATGGATTTTTATATCCGACAGAGAAGCTTAAATACAAATAAAATCTTCTGAATGTATAATGAAAAAAACTCGAAGAAACAGAAATTGATTAGTCTCCTGACCTGGTACTGATCGTTGGTATTGTTTCTAGCCACATCAACATTAAGCATGACACAAGGATATGATATTGTGAACTTCCTTGTCGAATCTCTGATATACATGTTCCATAAAAGACAATCAGCGTCTCTTAAAACAACATGCTGAAGACAAAATTAAGTTCACCTACGCACACCTTCAGTTAGGAACTATTCACATATGATTCTCAACAAATTCAATCGATCTTCTAGAGTAAAGAACCAGGTCATGCTTTTGCTAATAAGCAGAAACGTCAAGATAAATTCGAGTACTAAATGTTTACTTTGTCTTAAACGTGAAATTCTCTGGGAATGAGCCTGGCAGTGCGCACCAAATACCATCAGTGTCTAATTCCAGAGGCCTGCCAATTCTTTCAACCAACAAGCGAGCATTCTGGATTATTTTTGCTCCAGTATACGTGACAACTCCAGCCATTTCCATGGAATACCATCTTGCACCCCTGGGAGGACCAAATCAACTACTAAATATGGAAGTCAAAAGGATACACAAGGTCAAAAGGACTACAAACTAATGGAAATCGGGGAGCATACTTGCGCATAACATATCCGTAGAAGGAGTTGAGAATGCACTTGTGGGCGAGTTGCAATGAATCATACAGCACCACCATGTCCTGGAAATATAGGTTCCCTAGTGTTATTTTCATTTTGATAACAACTTAAGGACAACTGGTCATAGAGAATATAATACTTGGGCTTCCTGGATTTTAATAGAGTTCCCGCTAGCCTTTGCGTCAGAGAGTTTTCCCTTCCACACTTTATTCAGCCCCTTGTATTCATACCTTCTATCTCGAAAACTATAGCAAAAAGAAAGAATAAATTTTGCAAGACAACTTAATATAACGTTTGACCTTTAATTAGTAAATACATGACTTTGCTCTTGAAAGCAAGAGTTCAATACCAATAACAAGAGTTGAAAGATATAATAACAGAAAATTATACTATTATAGATGCCTACCTCCGGACAGTGTCAACATAAAATGGGTTTTCACGCATGCAAATCCCTGCTTCTCGAAGTTCAGTGATAGGTTTATCGAGTACTCTTTTGTATGCCTGAAAATTAACGGTGACATAAATTGACATTTGCTTTATTTCAAGTAATATATGCAAATTGATAAATTGGCATGAGTTGAAGTCATCCCCAAAAGCGAGCTCAAAGGGAGAGGGTGCCAAGTCACTTATACACTGTAACAGCCCAACAACTAATTGATGTGGGACAAAAACAACTTCTAACACCAACGCGTTGCATTATCATGTCCAAACCCAACATTGTATCCAAACAAAACTTAGTGTTCTGATACCAATTGGCCCAGGTAGATGAGTAAAAAACTAGCATAAAGGGAGAGGGTGTCTAGCCGACACTTATACACAAGTAACCACCCAATAACCAATAGATGCTGGACAAACATAACTTCAAAAACAGATAAAGGAAAGCACCTTTTGACAGTATTTCTTTAGACGCTCTTTGAGTTTCAATTGCTGGTCTGCTTTAGGAAGATCAAGGAAAGTGTTATACAATTGCCTATTTGTGTTATCGACAAGCTCAGACTCAATTTGCCTCTTCAGATGATAGTAATCACTGTTACAAAATAGTCAAAATAAGTTGCTATACATACATGTAGTCATTTAGGATAAAGTTCTCCGAAAGAAACTGAGAACCATAAAACAAACCTTCTCTTTGCCATGTATGTTTCTCCACGCCAAACCCACTCAAGCTTCCTAAGGCAATTTTTGCCTGGACGGTTAAAATCACATGCAGTGCATATCTCATCCGTGACTATTGAGGGTGGCTGTAAATTGAGAGAAGAAACTAAAGTAAATTGCAAATTATTTCCAAGCTACTGTATTGATTTATAAGTAAATTTTCATACAATATTTTTGTGAAGTGTTAGCCTAAGTATAAAAATCAAATGTAACCACTAAATATTCATGCAAGTATTTATAAATATAAGAGAAAGTTCCTCGTTGCTGTCCAGCTTTTCAATTTAATTCAAATCAGATATTGTGGTCTGAAATTATTAAGAATCAGTTTGTCTAGAGAAAAATAAAATCTTGGTAACTTATACAGATCGCTCATTTTTCTGTCCCTAAAAGCACTAGCCAAAACACAAGCCTCTTGACTTCGAAATAAAAAAAAAAGTGGATTCAAAGTCATGACTTTTCCAGCTTTATGCTATTTGCTTCATACATTAGAGCTCATTGATTGCTGATATGATGTTAGGTTTATAACAATTATAGAACAGAAACCAAGTAGAATAAGAATCGTATTCCGATTACACCATCAAATCTTGGTTTCTTAAATGTCTATGCTTACTTTCTCCTGTTCTTAGACACAAGATTGTCCAAGTAAGATTCTTAATGACAAAAAGTGCTAGATGAAGTATGCTCACTTGATTACCTGAAGTCTGTTAGTTAAAATTATGTTTGGATACATAGCAGCAACATCAAGATGATATATAAGAGGGACTTCTTCACGAATGGGCTCATCGTGCAATTTGACCAGCTGCATATCGAAGGGCAGAAGAAAATATTCATTTACAGGTTAAGTGGCAGCTTGACAAATCCTAGCAGTTTGTTGCACTCACTCACTCATACAGACTCAAAGATGGTCAAATTATGAAAGGAGAGAGTTCATCAGCAGTTTGTAAGGAACTCACCTCTCATGGAACTACATAAGCCCCACAGTGATGCATGAACGGAAAATATGCAATGCATGTCATAAGAACGTAGATAAATGTAAGACACACATACACAAAGGACCGCTCAGCTTGCAATATTAGCATCAATACATGCAAAATTCTTCTGCATAATGCTAAGTTTGTAGCATATGGAAGTTTAAAATCCTAGCATGAATGATAAGAAATATATGTAAATCATTGAAGAAAAGAATATTTGAACTCTAAAACAATGTTCTCTTGTTGACATTTCTTGTACATATACAGCTTAACTACAAACTAATCAGCCCACTACTGATGCTAAACTATTTACAACCTAATCTTTTGCAAACATATACAGCTTAACTACAAACTAATCAGCCCACTACTGATGCTAAACTATTTACAACCTGATCTTTCGCAAACTAACTACACTGTAACTGCCGTTTGACCACATTTTAACGCAGTAAATACAATGTAATTGCTATTTGACAGCACAAATTATCCTGAAAATACGAAAAACAGTTGTATTTTACATTAAGAATTAAACAAAAGATGAAACAAAACAAACTCTTACGGGATCAGTGATCACTTCTCCACATACAGAGTGTAATGAGAAGCAGGTTTCACATAAAGGTTACTGTACCTTTTCCTTGATGGCATTCTTTATTTCGTCGTAATTTGCAACTGATTCCAGGTCCATCTTTCCCTCCACTCTTATAGCATATTGAAGGTCACGGTCAAGATTATCAAGAAGTAGCTGAAAGAATGAGATATTCAGAGCTTATTATTATATATCCCTAAGGATTTCAGAGTGGGTACAATTTATTTTAAACAAAAATATCCAGAAAAAAAATTATCATGAAGTTCAGAATTCCAAAAAGAATTACTGCAGACAGCCACTGAATATCTAGACTGGGTAACTTGCCCATATCTTAAACTGGATTCACTAACAATGACACCAGCATTTTATCATAGTATTATAATGACGAGGCTTAGTCATAAAATGAAGTGGATATCCCATTAAAGAGGATCTGAGATAGCTAACCTCATAAGCAGTTGGATCAAGCTTAAAACTTGTCGGCAAATCAGATCTGAAAACCCCACTTTCCAGGCATTCCACATGGCCACCAATGTATGTCTCACTCTCAAGAAGTTGATTATTGTAGAACTTCTCTGAGTCAGACTGGTGTTTATTAGGGCAGACGACATTTGCCTTATATGCCTGCATGAAAAGAAAAGTATGTGGTAACAATTATAAAGATACAAGCAAATATCTAAGAACTCGGGGAGCTTGAACTGCTCTTTGTCTCCTTTTCTTTTTGCTCTTGTTACTTCACAAAAGATGGGATCAGCTATGTGCTTCAGAAGACATTAATTAGAAGTGTAAAGCCAGTAAGTGAGAAAGAAGAAAATTTAGCAAAAACATCAATAACCAATGTATGCTTAAGATGTAATTTGGTTTTGGGAGGTGGGGACTATTCAAGAAGTTTCATCATAAAATAATGATTCACCTGGACCATAAGAAGCATTTCGCAGAGTGTCCCACTTCCTTTCCGTAAGACCTCGTCAGGTGGCATTGGTATTATGGTAGCGAGAGAGAATATGAAGGGGTGCACATAAGTCATATAGAGGTAATAAGTTGAAACAGCATCAGAAACAGAGTAAGATGCCATCATCTGCAAAGTGATAACAATGTATAGAAAACTGGAAATTTAGTGGAAGTATACTGATTGTTGGACTGCAGGAACATTCTGAAATGGTCGTGAAGATAATCCTGTCAATGAAAACTAAATAATCTCCAAAATTTCAACTGTGAAACACGTGATTCCTATTTTTTTTTTTTCTCTTAATTTTGCAGAACTCCCTTGATTCGTTCTATTGACATGTCTACTACGAAATGATTATCTCTGTAAGGATCCATTGAATACTTAATTGTGCCCTCTTTGTAGCTTGTCCACAATTCTATGACACAAGTTTCTATTTCTTATCTACAAACTATGAATAAGGAAAAGAAAATATTTATAGTCCTCAAACATCACAGTTAAACAATTTTACCAAGCAGTCTTCTTGAATTAATAATCTTAAGAGTCAATGAACATAAAACCCCTAGTTTTTCAAGTGCTTCCAAGCATAGAAGAATGTTTCATCATGTCTTGCATAATGTAAACTCCTGCGACATTACATCAACGAGTCCATATTTGGCATCTTACATATTACAAGTTTAATAAACATAAATTTCAAAAGTTTGTGCAGAACTTTGCTTTATTCCTAAATCTTTGAATCATAAACTTTCTAGGAAGACAAGTATTGCAGAAACTTCCTTTGCTGGATGGAATGACGTATAAAAATCATTACTAGAAACCCGCGTCAAGCCATACGAGATTATATATACTATGGTTAAATTTGTTCCTTAGCTGCTTGCTCATTTTTCTTTTCTTTTGAAGCCAAAAGTTGGACTAGATCTTACAACTGACCTTAAAGCCAAAGTTCCCTACTTCCAAGTTCAGCATCATAAAGTAATATGCAAATTTTCCTCCCTACAGCTACTGAAGCACTTCTAATATATTAGGATCACTCGAGTATCAATTGCTATTCATGAGATTCACCTATTCTGCCTACATTTATTGTCAAACAGACCAACCTGGGGCTTTTCTTTTGCAAAACGAACCATATCCTCAGGATTTACTTCCAATGGATCATAACCCAATTTGGCTTTTGTCACAGCCTGAAATACAATGATAACAGATAAGCATACAGGAAATGAGAAGAACAAAACAAATTACAACTGCAGCTGGGAGAACCAATGAACTGTCAAGTCACAAAATGGGCAATAGGAATTTGAATTCCATGACCGCATATGTATCATAATAAAAGCATTTAGACCATAAAAGAGTTGGAATTTAATGTCCTAAACAGCATTTTCATAGACAGCACTACACATAAAACGACAATCTGTGAGATCGATTCAGGCTTTCTTTCACGCAAATGCAAAGTGAGTTGTCTATTACCTTGCACTTTCATTAAATTGGAATCAGTGTTATCAAATGGCCGGCCATGGCAGTATGGGGTGGCGGATTTTTCACAAACCGCCATGCTAAATTTGAACAGAAGCAGAAAGCTAATTTCTATTGTATCATACCTCAAAAAATTCGAGCAACTGATCTATATGCACAGGATATTAAAAATGCTTTCATCCCATACTAACTATATCTTAGTACCATATTAGTATTGAAATTCTTCTTGGTTTCAAAGTATAAAGTAAGGCAATGCATGGTACGTCTAAGGGGAAGTTAGTTAAGAATATTTAGCGGGCATTTTTTGCTGCTTCAAAATTCAAATGTAGTGAGTAAAAGGTTAATTGAAGTTCATTTTCTACTATAAATAAGTTGGTTCATTAACTTTACCTCTATAGCAGTGTCATTATTTTATGCTAAAATCTACAATTTAAAAGATACGCAGCATGTGATGATTACAAAGTGTACAGATGTATAGATATAGAATTTAACCACTGATCAAATGATTTACATTTGCATGTCTAAAAGTAATTGAAATGAATATATGCAATTGAAGGGTATATGTCGAATAACAAGCACAGTAATGAGTAGATGATTTTGAATTCTTGTTTGGGAGAAAGAAACGGATTACATAAAAGAATGCTAGATGTTTTTGGGTGGTGAGGGGTGGGGGAATCGATCATTGGCTGAATCAGTAATAGAGACCATGTATATATGCGAACTTTTCTGCTGTAATTTGACTATTGTGGACTGAATTTTATCATCTTGAATCTTAGTGCTTTTGCAATGTGAAATGGGGAGAGCAACACAATCAAATAATCAAGCTGCAGGAAAGCTGTCAAAAGTTAACAAAATAAAAGGTTCAAAAAGAGAGAAAAAATAGAAACAGAACCTTAAATTTTGAAGTTACCCAAATTTGAAAGGCTGAAATCTCAATATGAAGTTAAAAAGAAAACATTGCACCTTTAAACCATGGCTTCCTTGAGGAAGATAACTATCACGTTTAACCCAAGCAAAACAATCCAAGTGGCAAGCAAATTTGGCACGACATTCACCTTGATTTTTGTCACATCGAAATCCAAGCTCCTAGAGTCAAAGGGTACAGTTTAGAATTTCATAATAAAAGGAAAAAAATTACAAAAGAGAAGTAATGGCAGTAGTCAAAACCATCAGGTTTCTCAAGTTATCAACAATTTAATCCCGTGGGCAAACAAATATCAAATATATAATGTTGCCAAATAATTGATAGGACGGACTGTGAAAAAGAGTGTCGTTAAGCAAGCATCAATTGGGACTTCAAAATGAAACACCGTTGAATATGCAAGCACGGCTAATACCAACACCATCTAATATATGCATCCTAAGAATCTTTCAGGATTTAAGAATCGCAGTTACATAGCTAAGTTTCAAGACGAAATTTCCACACTATTCATTGAGTGATCAATTTTGTGAAAGAACTAATTTACAGAAACTATGGAGTAGCACAATGAGATCAGTAACTTCCACTGAAAATAGCTTATGGTCAAAATTGGAAGCCTACTTACTTCGTTCAGGTTGTAACCATGATGTGCTGCTCTGGTTTCCATGAATGGCCAGTCAAAATAATCGCCGTTGTATGTAACATATATACCAGGTCTTACATCTTGCATATGGGTAAACCACAGTCTAAGGAGTTCTTTCTGTGATAAATGTCACAATCATAAAGCAACAACAAAATAAAAATCTTAATAGCAAATAAACTTTAATATACATTATATGAAAATTTATTACCTCGTCCTTCACGTTTTTCACTTTGAAACACCCTTCAAATTCGGGTTTGGGAGTGTACTCTAAATCCTCTATATCCTCCCCAACACACTGCAAGGTTCAACAAAACTAGTCCGTCACCAATTATTTAGGTGCTTTCATGCAATATTTGAGATGTAACAGCAATTACAAGAAGTGTACCATCGATTGAACTATCTGATAGGAAACAAATTGATGTATATTCTGCCACTAAAATTTGAAAGATGCCTTAAATAAGCGGCCTCACCAATATATAGGGACAAATTGGGTTTTGCTTTAAGAAACCACCACACCTTCTTTCAGTTATTTGCTTATAACTCCTCATCTTCTCACCCCACACATTTACCATCCCAACCCTCTTTAAACTCCAGTAAAAGTGAAATTTACTATTCAGAATAATGAAAAACATAACAAAAATAAAATGAACATTGTCACAGATTCTTTGCTAAAAACAATATGTAAATGAGAAGAAGTAATGCCAAGAATCACCAATATTTCCAGTGTTAGAATCAAATATAAGCTCTGCTCTGTACTCGTTACCTCTCTATTAATGATGAGGTATCCTTGACCATCAACCATGTAAGAAATCATCATGATTGAATCATATTCAGCATCCGGGAATTTTAAAGGAAGCTTTGTGGTCTCAATATCAAAAGCACAGACATGAACTTCTGCACGTTGCAACAGATCTGTTCTCTTTTCTACTGCAATCCCAGCACTGGATACACTTACATCATACCACTGCCCACATCGTATATCTGAATCATAAGAAACTCAGAATGAGACCGATAAAACATATTTGTCTTTCAGAAATCAAGAAGGGTAATCAGAAACTAAATTTCTGAAGTGCGAACAGACAATTCACCATTGTCAATGGCAAAGCGAACATGATAAGGTACATCAAATTCACGAAGGTCGTTGATGCAGTCGACGAAATCCTGAGGTCGTTGTTTGCTGCCAATCAGAAGATTATCAGTATCAGAAAAAGTTCATTGTCGTAACTTGACAAAAGTCGACAGTATATAAAAAATAATGAACATCAATAACCGAAAGGAGGGCCGAGATTTAAAGTGAGCTAAAAATAAAGGTATATGTTTTCTCTATCACTACATACATTTGTTTTTTCATACTCGAGATTTCTAGGTTTTTCTTTGAAAGAAACCTGTCTAGCAAAAAAGAAGAAAGGAAGTACCTTTTTCCAGTCAATATGGATTCATATGCATCCTCAGCATTCATTTTCCCCTGGTTTTTCTCAACAACTTGAATAAGATCATTCCTCACTTGCATCAGTTGTTGGACTGTATCAAAAGATATCTTCAAATAGCATTTGTGCAAACCAGACAAGTGATTTTTCTGTGACAAAATGGAAAGTATATCAACTTCAGAACTTTAATACTCAACATTTAGGCATGAAAGAAATGATAAGCAGAAAAAATAAAAAAATAAAAAAAATGGTAACATAAACAAATTGATAAAATTGAAAAATATCATTATTTTAAAATTAACGCTGTCTCCAGCTTTCACTGCTGTTAGGGCATAAAAGTTGTCTGTCTCCTACTAAGCATTCTGCTCGTGCAGCTTCCGTTCACAGAAACAGGTTATCTATTTTTCTTGAAAAAAAAAAAATAATCATCTGTTGCCTCAATATGCTAAAACCTTGGAGACTGTCTGCAAAATGTACTGAAGATTAGACTGCTTACAAGATCAAGATCTTCTTTATCCACAACCTCAATGTCTGCAACTTGGCCTTCATAGCGCCTTCTCAAATATGCCTCAACATCCATTTCCATTTTGTCCTATAATCATGTTATGTAAAAGCCCATCAAATAGTTACGGGGATAAATTCCACTCTGACAAAGCTCAAATCTTATTTATAGCTATCAAGATTGTCCTTTTGCTTACCTTTGTGGCCGCATAAAAATATGGCCGGAACTTATACTTCGCCTTGAACGTTGAACCATCCTTCAATATTAGCATTTAAAAGAATATAAATCAACAAACTAACACAATTCAATCAAATGAAAACACATGAAAAAAATGCTCGGGGAACCAATACCTGGCATACAAAATACAAATCAACGCAACTGTACACTTTATGAGTCTCCCTATCTTCCCACGAAGACTATCACGTCAAAATCAAATTATGAAAAAAAAAAACACAAACAAAAAAAAAAAATCAAATCAGTTGTCTTCAAGTAAATTGGATAGATGGGGAGCAAATTGAGAGAGAGGAATAGAGAGATAGATATAAACTCACCGAGGCAAAGGTCAGCAACCAGCCGAGCCGTTTATCTCCCTCGGTGAAGAGATCGAATCCGAGCTTGGACTCAAGCTGCTCCTCCGCGTTCAGTATCAGCTTCTGCTTCTTCGAAATCCGAGTGTCCCTACGGTCTCTCCTTCGGTAATCGCCGCCGTTCATCTTTTCGACCGTGAATTTAGAAATTGTGTAGAGCGAATTGAGGGGAAAAGCAAGTGAATTGCAGTGAGTTTCAGAATTTGTAGAGAGATAAACTAAAAGCGGCAGTGGCGAAACAAGAAAGATGGGCGATACGAGGGTCCAGCAATTCGTTTCCCGCGCTTCAGAAATTTGACACTTAAATGACCAAATTGCCCCCGAATCGATTCGAGTCGACCTGTCCCGCCAACATAACAGATTGGATTGAGTTTTTACAAGGTTCTCAAAATTGACTGGTCATTGAACCAATCGAGTTGTTGGTTCAATTGTTTATTGGTCCTACAATTGGTTGAATCGATTTTTAACGTTCCACTTTGATTTAACGAAAAATTTATGGCTTTTTAGAAAAATCAATTTTATTTTTCAAACTCATTTCAAATATTTGTGGCGTTACTCATTTATTTCCAAAACATTATCACATATATCAAAATACCTAGTCATAGCAATGACATCAAAACATACTCCACACCAACCAAAGGTTTCATTCCAAGTCATAACTACCCAAATTGGGTTACCAAATTTTCAAAATAAAGAAGACATCATAGTGTTAACGGGGCATCTACTCAAACAATGTTTCGAAACATAAATATCTGAAGTTCATAAATATCCCATGCCATAAATCATAAATAAACTCAACTAACGGAAACAATACAATCAATGGTCTAGTCATCTAGACCGACCACCACTCGTCTCGCCTCGCCTCGTCGTGCTCGCAGCCTGCTTAACCTGCATCCATGAAGAGCAGGTGGGGGTGAGCACAATATGGAATCCATGGTGCTCACCACTATGCACATAAATAATAGATAAAATAAGACAGGTATGGTCGCAGCATGTATACGAATCAATTAACTATCTCATCTTCTATTTTAAAGATTTCACCGAATAAATTCACAAAGTCTGAGTTTTTTTCTAAATAATTTAAAATTTAAAACTTATCGAGCGCTACTTAACTATCGACATCATTTTAACAATTACGACAAATAATTAAATGCTACACATGTAGAAGCCAACACTTATAGATATAAACTGACTTATCCATAAGTCTCAACGTCATTCAAAAAGCTTAACATAAATCCATGCTTTCAAGCGGAAGCTTAAATAATTCAGAAAGAAAGCAATTAGTTTATCATGAATAAACACGCGGAAGTAAAAGACACGTTCAATCAATGACCACCATCTCGCTCGTCTTTACGCCACCGCCTCCAGCTCATCTCAACCTAAATAAGGAAGAGAAGACAACAACAGAAAACAAACAATGGGGGTGAGCATAACCAACAAGCTCACCATTATCGCACAGTTATTCAGTATAAAGCATTTTAAGACATTTTCACAATATGCATAGAATCCAAGGTCTAAACTCCTTACTCAGCCCTATCGCAAACCTCCTATGTACATACAACAACCTTTCGGATACAACGACATGGAAGTAACTGGAAACTTTCCGACCCCCAGGTACAACAGTTTGTAGGATCCTTTCCAGGAGACAGTGGAGATGTTTTTTCCCTTCCGGGTACAACGGCTTGGGGCGTCTCCTACCGGATACAACGGGCAGGTGACTTCCCACTGTTTTTCGCATTCATCAAAGGCACTACTCTACTGGACACCTAGACTAGGGTTGTAACACCCCGCTATTTCATAAATTCAGAGTGCACTTTTTCGCAAATTTTCTAAATAAATAAATAAAATATTTCTTTTGCGAAATCTGATTCGAGGTGTTACAGTAAAATCTGACATATTCTGAAAAACCGATAATTTTTAATCTAGTGATAAAACGGTTATAAAATATATTAATCGACTAACGTCGGGTCAAAAGCTGGTTTAAAGTACTGAAAACAGTAGCGGAAATCTGGTGTAGCCAAACATAATATATATATACATATAAACAAAATGTCTTGAACCGCTCGCCAGCTCACTCCTCGTCTCCGACTCTGTGACCTGAAAAACATGAATAATGTGGGGGCGTGAGCACTAATACACTGTGCTCCGCAGAAACTCATACTAAAGTAAACAGTGAAAATAATAACAATATCATGATCCTGGCATATATAACTGAACTGAATTTGAAACTGATAACTAATACCGCTGAATAATCTGATACTGATCTCGTGATATACATCACCTGACTGATAACTGAACATCTGTCGGCATAGCCGGACACCATGTGCACACTCTAGTGGGCAGATTAAGGCCACTAGAACCCA